CAAATCCCATTGTGTAATGTCTCGTTGAAGCTGTGATTTAGGTTATCAGGGCTGTGTGAATTTTGGATGTTGTCTTCTGGTGATGTAAAATGTTTCGGAGAGTCATGTTATCACCACACGGTGTAAACAAAACCTCTTGTCGAGAATAAATAATTTTTATTCCAAAAATACGCCGATTCGTTGAGTCAAGACACAGATAATGAACTGATCTGTAGGAACGTAAACCAGAATATTTGTTTCGTGCGTAATTTTTGTGACAGTTTAGAACCGCGTGAAGGAGTTTGCTTTATCCCGTAAGTATTACACGGTGATAATCAGATTTGTAGACTAGTGTAGTGCACTACAGATAAGGCGCACGTCATACCACCGCTGTTTTACCGATCCACGAATCAGAAAATGGTTGGAATCGCTGTTACAAGAAAAACACTCAGCTACTTGATTGTGGTGGGACAGGAGGGGGGGGGCTGCCGTGGTATTGCACAGCATTTAATTGAACCTCGGACAGTGATTGTCTGCTAGTTGGTCGCTGGGCTTGGTACGTGCTGGCAGCTGAAGCTCGACTGTCCTCTTGAATTAAGACGACTTAACTTCGGATCTCCCGGAACTTTGAGAGGTAAGAGAGCTTCTTTGGAACTATATTCTAGAGATACTAAGTTTGATTGACCTCCTGACATGCATTCACTGTGTGTCACGTGACAATAGGACATTCGACATTCTTCTATCTTCTCTCCTCCCTTGAAACCGCTGCTTTCGGCGTCATTGCCCCTGCAAACGTTGCGTGTATGCTACAGGCACTGATTATTTAAAAATGCAATGCATTTATTACTAATCAGGGAACAAAACGGAATCTGGTTTTCGGTCAGAGGTTTGTCTTGATCGTGGTTAAATGGGACCCACCCGGCGATGAAGAGGGACCGTCTTCAGATGTGTCGCGTCTGTGAACGCACTAAATAAGCAGTTGCGGACGGCCGAAAAGGAGTGGCCCTCCGCTTTGGGAGAGGTGCTGTTGGACTAACAACCCGTGTTGCAATGTGTCGGACGTGGACTTGGCCTTGAGAGGAATTTCGAACCATCAGTTTGCGTGTGAAAAATCGGGGAATATTTTGAACAGCTGAGCCACCATCAGCCCCTAAACAAGGACTCTGCTCCACGCAGTTACTATTTTTCGTTTGCGGTAAAAATTATTACGGCCTCTGCATAACTTCAAGTACCTGCTGCTGAAGTCCCGAGTCCTCAGCTGCAGTCATGACTGGACGTGGTCGAGTCACATCGGCTGTTATGAATTTGCATGATCCTTTGGTGTTTATGCGTGAGACAGTCCGCATCATTGCCTTCTTCGCCCCAAGTTAACTTAACCTTAATCAGAAAATACCATGCAAACTCCGCGAATCATGTCCCTTTTTACACACATCAATAAATTCCTTGGCTTTAAAAATCCTGAAGGATTTATCTCTGTGTTCACAAGGTCTCTACACTGGATCCTACCGTTAGCCAGTTTAATGCACTCAACGCCCCGAATCGACATTCTGTAAAGTTAAATTTAGATGTTAAATGCACGAGACTCGGAGCGCAGTCTGCAAAGGTAGCGCCATTGGTTGGTTACCTTCTGGGCCGCGAAGTCGCACATCATCTCGGCAGTCAGTAAAGTGTACGCAGAAGACAACAGCGAAGAAAGTCCAACGTCGCCTCTGACAATGTATAATGTGTACGAAACTGGATGTTGCCATAGCAACTGCTATGCGTGTCGATTAATCTCGAAACAATTTCTTGCCTCTAGTCGACCGTGAGCATCGCCTTCTTCGGGGTCTAAATCCGCAACTGAGCAAACACGAAAGCTGTAGAGGGATTTTGGTGAAATATTTTGTGTTTCTGGTGAACATAACTTCAGAGAGAAGATTTTAATTAAAATGCGGTTGGGGGTATTAATTTCCCCTAAAACGAAATTCATCACGTTGGAAAAATTTTGCGCGAAGATTAATAAATATTGTAATCAGTGATTAATTAACCCGCTTCACGAGTTATGAACCCCTGTCTCTCTCTTACCGAACTTCGTAAAGAATGCCAACTGCAATGTTTTATCGTCTTGAAACGCCGTTCTGAACAAATTTTTTATTGAATCTTGAAAATACGAATTAGTCACTGCTGTCTCCGTCTTCAGGGTGATGAGTAAGGCCCTTGCAAGGAAGTTGATCTCGTGTCTAATAACGTATAGATTTAGATGGGCCTGTACGAGTTAGGTTAGAAATGCATTCACGGCTTCGGTCAGATAACCTGAAAAGTAAAGACACGTGAGTTGGTTTATGCAGCGACGGAGAAACGTCGTAACGCGTCGAAAATTCGGTCACTTCATTTCCGACAATTCGAGGAAGGCAGGAAACAAGAAATAACTTAACTTCACTGCCCTCGTGTCAATTTTTAGACGAAGCTAAAATGCGTAACATAAGACGACATATCGACCAAATTTCTTACAGTCCTTTGTTGCTCACACGCGTTGTACCTCTCGTATTTAAAGTCTGTTCGTTTAGTGAACTCTTTAATTCGGAAGATGCCCACTTCAGATACCGACTGAGGCATTTTCGTGGTCTTCCCGCCAAGCGAACATCCGTTCAGCATTCGCGGTCACGTCCGCGTCTCGCAAGACGCTGAGTGCCTTCAGTCGTTGAATCAAAATTAAGGTCAATAAAATCTTCTCGGACAATCAAATGGTTGCACGAAGAGACGAGCGTTTCGGGAACCATCACCAGAGTTCTGACGTCACGTCAGATGACAGTTGCTTCGCGTTAACGAATTTACGCGGCTGATTCACGGCGGCGTCTCCGATAAATGTACCGAGGTCGATTACACTGGAGAATATAGTTCCTACAGTGTATCCAGTGGCGTTGGTCATTCTAGGTAGCACAGGCTGCGACTTAATCCCATTTAGCTGGTAAGGAACGAAACATGTTCCCTTTTGAACGCCGTGAATAATGCTCCATGAACAGTCTGTCACTTTTATGAATTAATACGGAGGCTCTGTTTTGAAACGCCGGAGAAATGGGGCTCTAATTGCAACTTACGGGAAAGCAGTTCTAATCGAAGGCAAAAATAATAAAGTCGAGTAACTGTACAGTTCCTTCCATAAAATATTTCATCCCGACGCACTCTTTGCCGTCTCTCGCGTTACCAGTTCTGTTCGGTTATTATTTCTCGATAAAAGGTGACGCTGACTGAATCTGTAACGTTAGACATTTGTTTGTGACAACTCCGGAACAAAAGAAAGTTTCTAGTCGGAACGTATTTTTACCTCCAGCTTGTTTGTTTCCCGAAGCGCGGTGTAAAATACCATTATATGTGGAAATAAGCTGACGCGGAAGACGAAGAGTTCACGTACAGCGAAGCCACGGCACGAGTTTCCTGCCCGGGGTCGGTATCGCAACTTGTTTAAATGGAGGCAAAGATTACCCAGGTCTCGGAGGAGTTTCGTGCTTCCTTCTTCACGGCCAAACCCGGATATAGTTCCTTGTGTAAGTGGTGCAAATTAGAACCTCGAGTCTCACGAACTTTGGCTCCGGAGTGATTGGTGTTGCCACTCGACAGACACAGTACACAACAGCATTTAACTTTGTGAACAGCTGACGCAATGTTAAGTAGAAACAAGGTAATGGTCTCGTATTGTGTGTGCAATCAGTGTAAGGTAAATATATTCTTTCAACTAGAACGGTGGTCACAAATACGTAACTTCAGTTTACATATGAGAGATAGAAACTCACACACTTTGAATGGCAACAGAGTATTTACAAGACCATTTCAAACTTGATTTTATTCAAATGAATGCGGATGACCTGTCCACTCAGGACAAACAACACAAATATAATTTCTCCTTGCATGCATTTGTGTTGTACCTGACGAAGGCTAAAAGCAGAACGTCTTAAAACGTCTTTCCTTTGCAAGAGAACCGGGAACTCAGACTTTGATTGCCGTCAACGGCCGGGATGTTGATCTTTGTCCCTTTTGCATCCATTAGGGCTCCGACATAAAACACTTTCGCGTGGAAACTGTTTCGACTTCTTAAACGTGGTGATGTAGCATTTGGCTGGAACTTCTGAGGGAAACAGCGCACACCTCAACACAGCCGGGATTCGAAACTGGGATCTCCCGAATACGAAGCTATTATGCGACGTTCGATCGCGGATTCTGCGTGTCACGGCGAGCGAAGGGCGTCTTTCTATCCTGAAGCATTCAAGCGGCGATGTGCTCGCGGAACGCGGTCCCTTTGGCCCTGGGTTGCCGACGCATCCCCGAGTGAGTCTCTGAAATCGATGTACTCCCACCGCAGTTGGCTCCTTTCAGATTGATCTTAATACACTCAGTAACCTTCTTAGGAAGTCTTAATTTGCGACGGAGTTTTCGTAGGTCTGTGGCCAACCCGACAAGCCGGAGGATCTACGAAATGACTAGAAAGAAAGAAGGATATCGCAGCAAATTCACTTAACTGAAAGCGTATAGAACAGACGACGTTTCAGAGGTCATTGCTGCCTCCATCATCAGGGACTCAACTCCCGCGGACTTACGCACTCTCGCCTCGCCACCTTTTGCGGAGAACGGAACGTGAATCATTGCCTCGCGCGAGCAGAATTCGTCCGTTCGCTTGCAGCCTCAAACTTTCACGAATCGCGCCGTTTGCCAAAATACCGGGCAGCCGCAAGCGAGTGTTTGTCTCCGTTTATTTATAAACACGCGGCTGAAGTTTCTTTGCGTGCGTTACGCAGAACAGTAATTGTCAGTGTGCGTTTTCAGTACACTTCCAAATCTTACTTCAGCTATATCATGGATCAAAGCGTCGTTGAACAATATCCATTTTCAAGTCGGGAATCGTGGAACGAGGTGAGAGTCGCGCACAAAAATTTCTTCGGGCACGATAATGAACCTTCCGTGACAGACCAACGAAGCGACTCTTACCTTTTCAAGGGTGACCGCCCCAAGGACTTTGTTATCGCTCGGGAGACGATGACTGTTCAAACATTTACGGGTCCTTATTATTGATTACTTCGTTCTGGCACCAACCACAGGGAACAGTGTACAGAGCTGTTTATTACAAGCTATGAAAAAGACAGGGGCTTCCACCCCCTCAGAAAGAGATGCAAAAGTGCACGACCCCGTCCGGACGCCCGGCTTCTTCCGGTTACCCAAAGGGTCGGTCGCTCAGTCACGCTGAATGTTTCAGAACTTTTGTTACTTTCCAAAACGGAACGTTAATTATCTCTCACCATTCTGTCCAATTACCTCTTTGCCAGCTCAGGAGTTCGCTTCATGAACTGTGTTCGTATTTCCGAGGGAGACGGAAAAAACGTCGACTGCTTAGGGCGTAGTTAGAATTTGGTGCAGAAAGCTTGAATTCTGTTTAAGTTGAAAGAGAGGAATTTCTTAAATAACATTCAAAATAATTGGATGAAAGCGGAGAGAAAAGCTTATTTCGTGGCAAAGAAATTACTGGAGGAAGGGGGCTCTTGTGACTTTCTGCGACGTCTCTCCTCCCCCCCCTTCCCCCCCACATCACGCCGGTTAATTTCGTTTCAGGTTCTGCGTCACCCGGAGTTCTTCTGCTGTGTACAAATGCCGTGGATGAGTTTAATGACGTCAGGGCCAGAGTTTCCCCGCGCAAATATTTGCAGGTTGGGCGTCCGTGCACTTCCCTGGCCGAGATTTTGGACGTACGAAGTAACCGTTCGCCTTTCTTTGTGTTTCGCTGTCCTTGGGTCCTTTGTGTGAGCGGAGCTAATTCCGCTGTCTTGTCTGTGCCTCGTCCTGAGGGCGCATTGAATTCGAAAGGAAGCAGAATTGGAGCTGTAATCGATAAAGAAAGCTCACGGAGACCGTCAGCTTCGCTTGTGCTGTGTATATTAGCCTCATGACGACGTAATGTCAGAGCTGGAGCCCTTACGGACTTCCTAATTAGACGTCGACTGCGTTCGGTCCTCGGATAATTAAAACTTGTGACTCATTCACTTGCAAAAGATTTCGACACAATTTAAGTCAGTCAGAAAAGATTGAGAAGTTTTTAACTGAATATAAACTTCCCACATCGCCATTCAAAACACAGAATAAAATGAAGATGGCTGTATTTGTGGTTGTAGCGCCGACGTTTCAGAGTTCCTTGCTGCTAACATCACCAGGCCGATGAATGAGTGAATTTATGCCGTGAATTAAAGCTCCTTAACACGAAGTAGCTGCCCCCCCCCTCCCTCATAGCCACAACACGACACTCATTCAGAAGGCGCGTCTCAGTAACCTGTGTACTTCTGGTGTTTCTTCAGTCCCTCCATCCTGATATTCTGTCTGGATATTCATTACAGTAATCTCCGTGATAGAACCGCAAATTAGGTTACGAACGCTTACCTGCACATACTTTTACGTATAATCTGAGCTATTGACGGCTTCGTGGCCTACAACGAACAAAGCCGCTCCCATAATTCAATGCGAGAACCGTGTTTCAGAAGCCGTAGCAATTCCCTTTTGCGGGTTTACTCCCTCCCACACACACAAATGCCCGACTGTGACGAGGCTTCGTGCTGAACCCCGTCTGTCTGTCCGTCCGTCAGATATTCGTAAAAAGCTTCGTGGCTGGAATTACGTTTGACGAATTGAATTATTTTATTAGGATGAAGATGCAGATGTTGGTCTTCTGGGTTGTAAGGCCGTTCGGAGGTTGATACCGACGTTTCGGAGGAACATATTGCCCCCACCTTCAGTCCACACCATATTATTACCAAGAAGACCAACGCACGTCGAGTGTTCGATCGTCTGTTGATCTCACATTACTACCCCTCGGCTCTGTTCTGCGTTTTATTCGGAACTTACCTGAGTATCTGAGAACGAGAGAGTTTGATCGAAGGTGTGTGGCCTGGTGACCGTATTTCACATGGAGGCACCAGACGAACTCCAGTGTGCATCCGGAGCTTCCGGAGCAGGCACAGTCCGTCCCTTCACATGTTTCAGATTTGACAGTTTGAAATGCAAGTGACAGTTATCGAATAGCACGGCAAAGCACGTGACCATCGCACAAATATTCCCTGGGTACCTTAAAACCACATTTGTGGGCGTGGTTGTATTTATGGATTTGGTTAAGGCACTGTCACTTTTCTGTGTAATTATCAGCATTAATTTCTTAGTGAACCAGCGTTCAGTGTAACGTTTAAAGCCGCGAGCACACGGAGCGAGTGCAGATGGCGAAGTGGACGTGGAGTGCGGGCGGACGCCTTTGCCCTGACTCTGATCCAAAGACTTTCTTTTCTTAAGCTGGCTTTACTGCCTGCTCCAATCTTCCAGTGACCCTCGGTATGACAGCAGATATTTTATTAAATTTTAATTCCATCGATTATGAAAGTTATTTGGCTACAGATTGTACCTATTTGAGACTTCCTGTGTGCGATGACCGCCGGACACTAGAAGGACTTTTCTGCACAGCGCAATCTCGAAATGAGTTTGGCGCCATCGGTTGGCGTAACCGGATGACCTGAGGACGCAAATGGAGCCGACTCTCTGCGTATGTCAAGCGAACAGTGAACATTTTCCAACATAATATTTACATAGTCGATCAGCCGCTGTCACAGACCTTTGCAGAATTATGAACGAATTACAAATAGCAGGACTGCAAATGAGTGCCGGTTACTTTGATGTCGTTAACGTAACAGAAATCATTATTGTCGGCAGGCGCAGCTACTGATTTGTTTAAAGCCTTGTTGACGTTCTCTGTGATGCAAACACGCTCGGTCTTTAGAGCGTCCGTCATTTCAAGCTGCTCTGGTGGCCAAATTTGAAAAAAAAAACACGAGTGAGGCAAATTTTATTTTCCCTGTTTTGTGAATGTCGTACGTGTCGAAGTAAGTCTGGAATATGAGCGCACGCAAGACCACGGAATTGTAACAGAAACATAAGCCCTGAGAGTCGGTAATGAATTAAAATTAGCGATCTGGCCGCGTTTCGTGTCGCTTGTAACCTGTGCCACGTGGGCACTCAGTTCAAGGGTAAATAATTCACGAGAGGAGGGGGGCACCTTCTAAATATATCCTTAAACTGTGCTTAACTATGTTAAACTCTTACCTGTAAAGAGGAGACAGATTGGCAGTGGCGAAGGGAACTGTTGTTCGAAGTGCAATTCGCCACTGTTTCAAAATGTAACTCGCATATTTTTGTTGCCATCTTGTGGAATGCAAGCGGGTGGAAACGTGAGTTGGTTTATATATAATGTGCATGGGGCACAGGGAATGCGGTGAAATTGTAGGAAGTGCAGGGGAGAACAAGAGTACAAACACAACTCAACAAGAATTTAGAGCAACTGTTTCTAGACTTAGGCATTTTGACGGCAACAAAAATAATCAAGGGAGGAGGTGAAACGCTGAGTTTGGATAGAATTAATCCACGTGAGAATACACTCGATAATCACCAGGAACGTGACAACAGAAACAATTAGCAGAATAATAAAAAAAATAATTCATTTACGACAACATTAGTCAGGAGATTAATCAAATATTCTCAGTACCTTCATCGTTTATTTTTAAACCTAACCCTGCATTCAGACGATTAACTTAATGCGTTCCATAAACGGAGGCTTTGAAAGAGGCCTGCTGTGCTTTTGTTGTAATCGAAATTGTCTTTCTTACTTTGCGAATAAATTAATTTGAATGGGAACATTGAATTATGACTTTCGTGACAATCAGCTGGGCGCCTTTAACCGTTTTCTACGAGCGAATATTCCCGATGAAGCCTTAAATATGTGTTCGCCACTGCCCAGCACAAACACCAGTCAATTTATCCGAGTGGCTCAGTTAGGATACGTCGAGAATCGGTGTTCTACTCAGTTGACTTAAATTCGCCCACCATCTTCACAAGAAAAGTTCATGATCTGCTAATGTTGCTACAGGTTATTGGGTTTCATAACTTAAAGCACGGCATATTCCTGCTTCAGAACGGAATGTATCGCAACTTATGACGCGGTAATGCATGTGACATCGCCTCCGTGAAAGTGAAACGCATCTTGTGTGATCGGACTAAAATTTGAATCGCGGGTCCTCTCTGCCAGTCACTACCACTCTGTTACGGAGGATTAATGGCAAATCCATCTAAAATGTAAATGACTGCCTCGAGGCATGGCTCAACGTTCAGGAGAGCAGAGCTTCAGAAACGAGCGTATAATTTTTTTTTTTTTTGAAATGGCTCTAACTTTCTAAGCCAAGTACCCATCACACGCATTCGGCTTGTGCGTATGTAACGGCGAAATTTGCGTGTACGTTCGCTTACAGCTCGAGGACGGAATTACCGATTTGCACCAAACTTGGCATTCTTATTCCTTGATACCGGGGGGGGAGAATCCCGGAAAAAATGCCCTGAGTTCGAGTCCTGACAGGGATGTTATGTGTAGTTAGGAAAATAAACACGGCAGAAAAACACACTTTTTTTTAAGTTTCCGCAAGGTGAATGCGAGAAGTAAGGTCACAAACCCGAAAACTGTCCTAGGTCCTAGACCCCGTGAAGATTCTGGGTTTTCCAGACTTTGTCCATCGTCTGGAACACGACGTTTCGGAAGTGTTATCTAGTGATAATGTGAGGAATGCCTGCTCAATTCTTTTATAAACTTCCCGTTTTCTCAGGTGACTGTGGAACACACTCAAAGTTCCCGAACCCGTTGCCTTCTGTTCTGATCACCAGGTCACCAGTGACAACAGTGAATTCTTTTCACGTCGTTCAGTCAAATGCTGAGCTAAGAATCGTCAGATTAGGCTTTACGATGAACAGAGGGAACTTTGGCGGGGGCGTGTCAGTCGGCAGGGGTTGCGAGAGAATTGCCCCCTTCCAGAAGGAGAAAACTGGATACTGTTTCCTACAGATTATGAAGACGACGACATAAGATGTTACCTTGGCCTTCCGCTGAGATGATGAACTCAGTTTCATCAGTTTCCTTTAATTGTCCTTTTAAATACGCACGGCGACGAGAATGATCACGTGTTTCACAGAACATAAGTACAGCCATTTTAATAGGGGTTGCCGAAAGTCCTACGTCGGCGGCAGCAGAACGAAACCCGTGCCCCATTAGACACGATCCTAAGCCCTGTCATTGTGGGGCCACTGCTCTTACGACAAGACCACTCGATTGGTCTCATTGAGTAAACAGAGTACGTCAACACCCAGAGACGCCGTTCCTCCGCGCTAATGCGTATGTTAATAGCTAAGCAAACGCAAGATGAATGCACGCAAACAAGCTTCTTAGTAACAATTGTGAGATGTCAGTACTGTCTCGACACCTTGATGTGATGCCTGTCTCCTTTCATTCCAGAAACCAAATTCCAAGGCGTCGTGTGAACTTCCAAGATGTCAGACTTCAGAAGGAAGAAGCTGCTTCATGTATTCAACGTTTTCTTCGGTAAGTACCATTGATCCTCTGGTAACGACGGGTCTTCGGGGAAGGCGGGGGCTGCACTTCAGATTATGAGAGAAACCGTCTTAAAAATTAACAAGACGCTCTGTTTTTATAAACAGGAACGCGATACGCGTCTCGAAGGCGGATGCCACGAGAAGTGGGAATTGAGTTGGCGCTGTCTCAAGAAATAACATTTGTACAACTTCGCTTTCCCTAATGCAATAAAAAGAGAACTCCGTCCCTTCTCTCTGACTACGGACCTGTTCCGTGTGTAAGGCAAATTAGAGCTGGCATGAGTTCACAGTCATTATGGCGACGCAATTTGTTCGGACTTGCAACAAAAGAGAAAAGGAACGAGACCCAAGGACAAGGCGTCCGTAGCTACGACGCTTTAGCTGTAAAGCGATCAAATGACCAGCCGAAAGTTGTTGCCTGGTGATTGGTACTCCTGCTTTGCATTTGGGGAGTCCCGGGTTAAAATCTCGGCCCAGAGACCGGCTTCCCTGACTGGGGTTCTCCCCCACCCCCCGAGTAAATGTCGGGGATGGACATTCGGTCAGGTCACGACCGCTTCCTTCCATATCCTTTCCCACGGCCGGATTTAAGGGGTCTCCACAGAATGCAAGTTTCTTTAGATGCGTCATGTTTGTGTTTAAAATTCAAATATATATTTATTATTCAAGTCTATACACAAACTTTTAAATTGTTGATGTTAAAATTTAAAATTAATATTAATATTCTGCGCCATTCATCGTTATCTCGATGTTACAATATTGCGCTTTATACTACTACATGTTTCAATGTCATAGCATCATCTTCAGGTTTTTTCCTTTCGAATTCATTAATTAAGTGACAGTGTCGTTAAACAAAGAAACAAATGAGTCACTCGAGTAAACGGTCCATCTTGAATTACGCTACTTTTATAGAATTCACAGAACTCCGTTGGACGTAAGGTTTCTTGAGAAGCTGATGTTAACCGACCTGGTCAGATTAGTGAAACGTGCCTGGAGTTTTTTTTTCAAGCATGTGAGGGCGAACTGGAAAACTAAAATAACTTCAGAGAACGCAGAAGTAGACAATCAGGAGCAGTCGTAAGCTCACCGACAGTTCATCGTTGTCGAAGAGGTTCAGGTGCATGTATTATTTTATTTGCATTCATTCGAGGAACACGACAATCGCCTTGCAGTCTAGATCAGCTCTTCTTCGTACTAAGGCGTATTCTTGCAGGTCCTCAGGAGCTACCGGTTCTCCCGTGACGTGAGCGGCCCTGCGTCCTGACATCCGCCTTCCGCGTCACAGGTCTGTTCCCTCGGTCTTCGTCGTTCTAAGTGCATTCTGGGAACAGTTCGTCGTCTCACCCTTAGGAACGCCGAAACTACTCCGTGGATGAGGCCGACAACTGCGGGAACGCGGCGTCCGTCGCTGTCCATTGTCTGAGGCGCGTTCCTCAGCTGATTGATTGCCGAGATACGGACATGTTGTTGTTGTTGTTATCATCGCTTGGCTTTTCCTGGAGCTTCTCTGGAACTGTTGGCGAATTCCACTACTCAGCCCTCAATTTTATGATTGTAGCTCTTTTCTTCTGATGTGCGATTGATATTCGCACTGAAGCTTTGTTTTGTTTCCAGATTTTTTTTTAGTCATTCAGTTAACAATTCCTGTGGCTCTGTTGATTAACGGCATGACAAAACATTTCGTGTTCCACATTCGCTGAATTTCTATACTTCGTTTTTTGCATTTTAATTTATTTTTCATCTCCTGTATTACGTTCGTGCATCTATCAGCAAGCAGATTTCCCCCCCCCCCCCTCCACCCCCCCACCACATCTACGCGTTCACGTTTGTGCGATCCCCATTTCTATCGTTTCAGTGCGTAATGTCTCGCTCTTTACTTCGTTATTATTGACAACGGTCGGAAAGGAACCCAGGACCTTCCGAACGCTAGGCTCTTGCCCTAAACAATAATAGATCGAGAATGGCCGCAGTTCTTTCCGCCCCTTAGTAGAGGGGGTCGTATGCAATTTGCGTGTACGTTTACGAAATTCACCTCAGATAATGAACAGTGGTTCAAACCTCTATAGAACCATTACGAAATAACTATCTCGACTTACAATTTATTTTTCCTGATTTAAAATATATGTAATTAATCAGTTATTAATATGGCAGATATTGAAATTAATGTAACCCATACATTTGTGTTTTTTCAGATGTAAACCACAGCGGAACTATTGAGAAGAAAGACTTTGAACTGGCTATTGAGGTAAGTTAACGTTTGTTTGAATTTACGTTCTGGCCTTCAGTAAAATAGCAAAACGTTTTGTTCTGAAAAAAAGGATAAATGGAACTGCACTCATTCCGAAATTTTCAGGTAAATGTAAACATTCCCTTAGCCTGTGATTCACTTTGTCCTTGGGCGCCTACAGGACATAACTGAATATTCGTTCTTTTAATAAATTATTCTGTTGAAGAGAATATTTTAGACGTGCTACTACTAACGGCATCTGTTGACCGTTGCCCTGTACTGTGTCAGGCAGAGTACCTGTTGATTTTCGCACACGCCGCGTGAGTCACATTGTGGCCATTGGCGCTGCAAAACGAGTGGACTGATGCTGCGGACAACGGCCATCTTGTACTGGAACTGTAAACCCTCTGCTTTGCGTATTTTATTCACTCCAAAGGACACTGGGGCTCTAAACCGTAAGCTAGACGTCGTTTAGTCTGCGGAACAAAGTTCGTGAGGTAACTGCATATAAAAGTCTTCAGGATCTGCTGTTTCAGCTGCGTGCCTGGGCTAGTGGCAGGCGTGTCCAGGCGCCTCATAACACAGGGCTGGATCCAGAGACGGTTTCTTAAGTCACTTGTCTGCCGGAGTTGCGTCAGATCATGGATTCTTTTGCTTACATACGAAAACATCCCGAAGTAATTCAATGGGCAATACCAAACTGTTAGTTCGAACGAGTAAGCCCGTGCATTGGAAATCTTGACGGACATTCTTAACAACTGTACGCTGTATCGAGTGTGTCGGTGCAATGCTGCCAACACTGTCGTTTATTTTCCCTGCGAACACTTTGAAACGGTCGTATGAACTGGAGGTACGAACATTCTTTCGCCCGTCGGAGTACTGCTGACCGATTGTGAAACACCCTGTATAATCAGTTTCTTTTGAAATTCTATTGAGCGTCAGAGACTCATCTGCTCCCAGTAGAAATATTACTTTTTATATAGCGGTTGAAGTAGAGGGATTACTGCCTGCAGTTATTTATTCTTCAAAATGAAACAGCGCTACCTGAGATTGATATTCGAATGGCGGTTTTCAGTTGCAGAAAAGCGTACGAAATGGTCGCTTGTGCTGTTCAGTGCTGAGCCCCTGTACCCACGCAATTTGTGTAACATCTGTGCATGTCCACAGGCAAGAGTTCCTTTCGTCCCATCTCGTCACTTCTCAAAGAATCTGTTGCAGGATCAGCGAAAATGGATTGCGTATGCAAAAATTGTAGTGTAATTTTAGGTTATGTGCGGTGCACTTACGACAGAAGCTTGCATTATACGGAGCATGGCTATTTGAAAACACAGCGCCGGACCTCCGTGGTTTATGCAGATCGTGCAGGGGCTATGATGGGTTAAACATGCAGCTAGAATGTGGAGGCTAAAACTCGTGTACGATGGAAAATAGTTTCAACAGAAATCGAATGATTACTCGGTTAAATGTCGCCAATGATTGGTTTTGTTAAAGAAAATTGTTGAGTGATGTGTGGACATAAGATGGCGTAATCTTGGACGTTTTCGTTCATCTGTAAACTTAATACATTCATTACAGGAGTTCTCAGCGGCACCTCATATTTGTCAGACGCGCTCTGTGAGACGTATAAACCATATGATCAATAATCACAATCTTTGGTAACATCCGAGACTGTCTTCTTTCATCACAATTTGATGTTCTTAGTAATACGAACTATACCATGATCCTCACCATTCAGAATTATCAATAACAACTCTTAGAATCTTTGCTTGCCACGTCATATGCTACAATCTTTAAATCATTTGAGCATGGAAATTAGAGTCAGTAGTCAATGTGACTTGAATTTAATAGTTCTACAGTATTTATCTTGATGTTTCTCAAGTTTTTATCGGTCTCTGTAAGCCACGGGTTGGTTGGTACATTAAAATTGGCTGTAACTAATATTTCGCACATCTAATCACTCCAGTATTCATCATTGACCACATTCTTGAACATTAGAATATGTAATCTAATAATTATACGTTTGTATCTTGATTTTGTTTCAAATTACTCACTCCTTGTTCCACACGTCACGCCTCAAATTATATTTCTTTCTCACAAAATTATTCTTATTTATAAGTAAATTTCACTGTTATGTTTTCAATGAAGAGTTCCTTTTTTGGTACTTTTGAGAAAGTTTAACAACGCCACTGTTGTCAGTCTAACCTTGAATTCCACCAGTTAAAAGTAGTTTATTTTAAAGTATTATCACGTACACACGATTTAAGAAGATGGCTCCATGAATTTTCATTAGAATGTACCTACTTTAAAGTGAAATGTAACGAAAAACAGAATATGAATCACATTTACGAAAATTAATTACAAATACCGATAACCTTGCAGCTACATTGATAAATCCTCGTTACGTCCTGATCGTTATTAATAATTTCTTAATGGAAAAACATTGATAATGAACGACATTCCTCACGTGCTTGTGCAGAGGATCCGTAAAACACGGGGGTGGAAGGAGTCTGACCCCAAGTACTCGGAGACCAAGGACATCCTGTTGAAAGTGTGGGACGGGCTCCAGCAGAAGGCCGATGCCAACAAGGACGGTCAGGTATGGAAGAGCTCGATTAATGTGTGACACGTATATTATATTAACAGGTCGATGTGGGATAATGCATCATCGCCCTGATGAAGGAGGCAGTATGACCTCCGAAACGTTGGTTAACATCGACCGGACAGCGCAACAACCCAGAAGACGGAAATCTTCAATGCTAATATCGCTGCACGTGTTGTTATAATCCTAATAAGGGATTCTCATGTTTCGTAATTTATTTTAACTAAATGCATGTAAGAAGTATGATTCGTGGTTTTTCTTATTTTTCATCAGAATTCTGTTTGATGCTGTGGTCTCCTAACCCACAGCCCAAGTCTCTAAAGACAACGTTCTTATAGCACACAGAGGCATTATTTTTGTATTTATAATTTCATTTGCATCGGCGTTGATCAGAAACATTAGATCTTGATGTTCGTAATGAAATTAGGCAGAGCGGAGGTTCTGATGTCTTCAGCGAAAGCCACAGTTGTTAATTTAGTATCAGTTACTAAATCTTAACTACAAAGACTCTGTGTCACTAGAAGGAAGGTGCAGAAGTGGCTCTTAAGCAGTTCGTGCAAGCTCTTGTCAATAAAAGTGCAATGCGAGGCCTTAAGTAGAAGGATGATTACATTTAATTAAATATGCAAGTAAAAATCAAATACTTGTTAATATTAAATTACAATCTGTAACTGGCATCTGAGGAAATTATGTTCTGTAAAACAATGTTTTGTAATTTATTGAAGCATGGAAGTCCGACATTCCTCTGTGATGCTCTGTAAGAATAAACAAAACGAGTTGAAAATGTTAAAATTAAAATCCGCGCAAACGTGGATAGAAATGAAGAATTGCGCGGGTAGTTGATGTCCGATATCCACGATGACTGATGGGTCGCTGCATTATGAACTTAATTTAGACAAGCAGGAAACTTTTTAAGGCACATGGTCTGTAAAAAGTTTCTCATTCCTGCATTAAATATTAATTGGAAATGAGATTTTGATTAATTAGTTGGTGTGCTCTTGTTACAAATTTTAGTTTTCTCTGAAAATTAATATTCCAAATCTGCTTCAAGCACCTAAAGGTTATGGACCACTGGGATACTGCAAGGCCGCAAGACAAATAAGTCTAGGGCCTATTTCAGGGAAAATGATGTAATGTAATTGCATCTTCAGAAAGGATTTTGTAGTGTCAGTCCATCAGTGGTATCAGAATTTAAGAACTGGTGTTGCTCACATTCTGCAGACTGACAGAGAATAATTTATAATTTTACTACTTTTGTATGCAGGTCAGCCACGAAGAGTGGGTGTCCATGTGGAATGATTACGCTAAGAACCCAGAAAAGGCACTGGAGTGGCAGAACCGTTACATGAATTTCATGTTTGACCTTGAGGATTCTTCAGGTAAACAAATGCAAGCATTTCCCATGCATATCTTTAACAGTAACAGAAACAGAACAGAAAATTTAACATTTACTTTCCGTGTGACACGGCTTACATGTGGTCCAGCTGGTCGTGCATCAGACAAGCACAACGATAAACTGTTAACCCTGAGAGCAAACGCTGATCCAACAGGCCCATAATACTGGACCTTGAATTTCCTGTTCTCCTGTGATAAGGTCTGGACCATTTTTCTGGCTCTGGGATCTAAATTTTTAATGGTATTGAGTCGTGCCTTATGTAAGCCTTGACGCAGAGATGGTAAGGTTAAAATATTTTACCTCATTAAACCCTGAAACTCTCAGGACACGATATTTATCTACTGGAAATTTTTGCAAATCACTTGACAATTAATTTGTAGGTTATGGTACTCTGGGCTGTGACTGCCGTTTAGTGTTATGAGTAGTTACCAGAAGGACTGCTTAGTGACATTCCTTCTCCACTTGGATTCCTTCTATTTTCTCCTTCAGTATTACTCGAAAATTTAATATTCATTGTTAAGATTTTGCTTTCATTTATGTTTTCGTGTTGCAGTACCTGGTTTAAATCCTAGTTGGTTCCCTGTGGCTTCTGGTCACGCTAGGTGAATGTTGTGTGGTATATTCAAATAAACCAGAATTCTGCAATTGATACAGCATCATAAAATAATCCACAAATTATCAGTTAACCACATAAAATAAGCCTCTACTACAGTTTGTTGTTGTTGTTGTATCAGGATAATGAGTTCTCCTCGCCACCTGCTTCGACCATTCGCTCCTTTAATTTCTTCAACCAACTCTCTCAGCCTGTGTCTCAATACTCTCACTTTCACCTAAAAGAACCTCTTCTTTCAGGCGATGGATCCATCGATGAGGAAGAGTTCAAGTCTCTCTGCGTTAGTTATGGTCTGAATCCTCAAGACAGTGCTGAAGCATATAATAAATTCACTTCTGTAAGTACCGACAGCTTAATCAATAAATACATGCACGTGTGCATGTATTTATATCTATATATTTTAATATAAGATGGAATAAGTCATAAAAATAGGAAATTTTGACAGATACAGATTCAGTATTGTAAAGATTTCAACTGAAAGAAATTTTCACTCGAAGTTCATGAAATTTATGGTGAATTTATGCATTCGATTAAAATGTAGCACAGCATCGAGAGATATAAGAAACAATGATTATGTATTATTTTAAATATTTTAAATGGGTCCTGTTAATGATGTCTGCAGCTGATGGCTGATGGTCGTATTCTTTGTGGACTATCTGTGATGACATGCTCTGTTTAGAGTAATGAACGTAACGGAGTTGAAGTGTGTCATAGAGTATTTTAAATTTTTAATGAATGACTGGTATAAGAACTGAGAAGCATTACAGCAAATCAGTCCTCAAGAAAGACTTAGGACATGAGGGGTGCCAGTGAGAGAGCGTAATTGTATATCCGAACTTTGTTGTGCGAAGACAGACAAATAATATATAGTCACTGTTTCAAATCGATACATACACAGTAAATAAACTGTACTATATAATAACAAAACAATCTTTAGAGGCCTATGAGTTCTTTTTAAAAATTAGGAGTTCATCAACATAGTAAAAGGAGTGTGTATTTGAGTATCTTTTTAATTCTGCTTCAAATTGTGTCTTATTGTATTTAAACTTTTTTAAACTTAATGGTAGACTGTTGAACAATTTGATTCCAGAATTGTATACACTTTTTTGTAAACATGAAAGCTCGGTAATTTGTCAATGAAAATGGTCCTTACCCCTTGTGTTAACATTGGGCGTAGCTCAATTTTCTGAGGTTTTTTTTTGGGTATTTACAAAACAATTTATTAATAAATATGTGTTCATATGTACGAGGTAATCTCTTAAACAGAACTGTACCTGAATTTCTGTTTTACGTACTGTCCTCTGACAGGGATCTTTAATCCGCATATAAACTTGTTTAAGTTAAAGTTATCATTTTTGGTTCATAACAGTTTACTGTGTACAGTTGTGCCATAATCTACCACAAAACATGCAACAGCTGGCATCCTATGCGGTACCGCGTAAATAGAATGCGCCATCAGAAGTTACAATGACATTTGTTATTCACAGAAGGAACAGGTTCACATTCTTTTATCTCTGCTTGTTACGTATTTCCTAATATTAATTATTTCTCTTTAATGCATTTATAAAAAGATACAACAATTTTATGAATTAATATAAATGTTTTTGATTACTGTTTTAGAACAAGACTGTTGATATCACACGCGAAGTGTTTGCCGGTCTATGGAAACAGTTCTTTGCTTCAGAAGATCCCAATGCACCTGGAAATTACATCTTTGGCAAAGTTCCCCTTTAATAACCTCTCGTTGTCTCTCTTCATTCCACACAACATTTCATGATGTAACGTCTTGGCTTGACCAAGTCGCAGAAGGATGGCTCAACCTAAACTAATTTTGAAAGTTATCCAGTGCGTGCAAAGAGAAATTTAAATTGTTGATCAAATTAATGATTTAGGCCTTCAGAAACCACCACAAAATATTAATACTGTTATTATAGACATACTTTGTGGAAAGAAAGAGAAGCCATGCTTATTGCATCTTAAGGGGAAGCACACATCTCTATGGAGCTGGAATCCATGAAATCACAGAGGCATAGCAAATATATTTGCCCCACATCATAAAAAGTATTGATAATAATAGTAATAATAATACACAGATTTATCAACTATTTCTTCATGGTTTATTACTGGTGCACCCTGACTTTCACGAAACTAACGAAATAAGAAATTGTTCTGTAGTTTTCTGGGGTGAATGTTGTAAGTGTCAGAAAATGTTTGTTTATAACTATCTTTGTAACATCATCGGCGTTAATTATAAGTACAATGTAAATGCTGGTACGCAATGTCAATAAGAAGTAGGAGACTCTTTAGAAGTGGGTTGTGCCTCTTTGTCGTGGTCCCAACCAATCTTAATATGCACTTGCACAATCATTTGATCAAAAGAAATGTTTATTAATATTTTCTGAATGTTACAATTAATGTAATGTGTTCCTATGGAATGCCTGGTACTGATGTGGCAACTGTCAGCTTCTGAACTATCGCCTGTACCCTGTTATCATGTTCAAACATTATTGAGAGAAATTATAAGCATTATGTGAAATCGGAGGTTTTCGTGGTGGGGACGAAGAAGCAATGTTCTTCTGGAACTGAATGTTGGATGCCAATGGCAAAAACCCAGAGGAATATCATCGTAATTACAAGTATTAATTCACAAATTTACTATGCATATTTGCAGTTTAGGAATAATATAAATAAAAGTGGTGTTGGGAATTGGGCTTGTAAAATCACGAAGGTGCGACAGGGACTGGCTGACGAATATGAACCTGTGGTAAAAATCCTCTGTACCATGGCATACAGGAAATAATTTCTGTACATTATATACATAAAATCTGAAACAAATGTGGGAAATTAATAAAATGGCATAATGTTTCTGTTTTAATTTGTAATTATAATATTTCCAAGTTCTTTCCTTGTGTCGTGGAAATGATCCTGCACAGCATCTCAGCACTGCCACAGTTTAAGATAGAATTCCTTTTTAAGAAAATAACCACAGCTTATCGTATAACAAACTGACATACTGCAATGCAGACTTAAAGTATAGTTAGCAGTCCCACAGTAAGGGATTTTAAATCCCCTATTCTCATATGATAAGGCAAACAACATAAAATATTTTGAAAATTTACTGAAGTCAAAATTTTTAATTTTTTTAAATTGTGCGCTTTTTGGACAATTTCCACCCTTTTTAATTTATCGAAAATTTTGAAAAATTTCAATATT